AGGTATACATATTTATAATTTTGATATTGCCAAATTGACTTCCATAGAGATTGTTCCAGTTTATATGCCCCAAGTAATTTATGAAAACCCAGATCTTAATTTTTAACTGTTTTCCAAGATAACTGCACTAAGCTTTCTTACATATGACACCACAGCAGGTATTGTGGTTGGCACCCCAATAGCTGGGCCCTTACTCCCCATTATGGACCACCTGTTATGAGTTGAGGAAGATTCCCCGGCTCAGGCCTGTTTTGCCCCTTTAGACTGCCCCTTTATCACACTCTGCCTGAGGCAAATAGGCAATCTCCAATTCTGACAATGGCTTGTTTTCTAAACATGCTGTTTCCAAACACGTGCTAAGTCACACCTCCTTTGGCTTGGCCCACATTGTTTCCACCTCCTGCCCTGCTCTCCTTCCCTTCTCAGTCTGGAAAATTGACTCCTCCTTTAAGATCCAGCTTAAAGCCCCTACTGGTGTGACTTAGGGGTGGGGCGTTGACCAGCACACTGAAAGTTCACCCGTTTGATTCCGGATCAGGGCGCAGGCTTGGGTTTTGGGTGAGGGGTTCCCAGTTGGGGGTGTGTGAGAGGCAAACATACCATTGTTTTCTCTCCCTCTCTTTCTCCTTCCATTCTCCTCTAAAAATAAAATCTTTAAAAAAAATTCAGCTAAATGTTGCCTCTCTGACCCTCCCTGGCAGAACTGTTCACTCCCTTCCTCTTCTGGGTGCCCTCCCACAGAACTTGGACGGCTTGCCTTTAGAGTACATTTGAATCACCTGGTGGGGTAACTGTTTACCTGGTTCTCTCTCCAGCATTTGGTCCAGGCCAGGCCCATACTTCAAACTCATCTGTGACTAAAATTAAACTCACCAGAGGAAGGATGGTATTGAAAGGCCATGGGTGTGGGATATGACTTCATCCTCTGTCCTCTTCCCACCTTGCCAGCCTCATCTGCCTGGTGTTCTCTGTGCTCTAACCACATTGGCCTGTGCTCCTTTCCTACTTCATAGCCCTTCATGGGTTGTTCCAACTGCTTAAAATGCTCTCCCCCTGGTTCTTTCTTGTCCTTCAGTGCCCAGTTTAACTACAACCTCTAAGAAAGGCCTTCCTTGAGTCTACGGGCATAATCCTTCCCATTCTATCATTCTCTAGTCATTCCCTTTATTGATTTATCACAATCCTAACTCTCGTGTTGATATATTGGTTCACTTGATTGCTGTTTGTCTCCCCTGCTAGGCCTTGAGGGCAGGGACTTTGGCTTGTTCACTGCAGGGCCTGGCACATATTTGGTGCAACATCATGAGGAATAAACAAACGAACGGGTTCAGATCCCTGTTCCACCACTTCCCAGCTTTGTCCTTGGATTAATTACCCTCTTGGAAGGCTTCCTCGTTTGAAGATCAGGCCTTTCAAGTTGAGATGAGTAATGGAGATTGTGTAAAATATCTGATTACACAAAAAGCCTCCATAAGTGGTAACTATGATTTGTGAAGTTTTTCTTTCCTTCATCTGAAAAATGCACCTTTTTGCCAGGCTTAAAGACCTGGCACTTTTCCAAAGAATTTTTTATTGCGGTATAACAAATATATAGAAAGTACACACACCAATCGCTAATATATAATGTATGTATATGTATATACATATAATACACACATACCCAGGTAACCACTTCCCAAATTAAGTAGAACAGTCTAACACCCAGGCAAGTTCTCATGTTAGTCTTCCCCATTCCCTCCTCTCACTGATACCTCCGGTTCTTTCTCTCCTCTGTTCCAAGATCATGGCATGTCCATTCTTCCTTCAAGCCGTTTCTGACTCATTCCTTTCCCCCTTTCCTCTCCTGAGATCTTCCCCGATAAACTCTAGCTCTCCTGACCTCTCCTACACCAGTAGATGAAAAAAGGGGTTGTGTGGAAAATAACCTCACAGGGTGATCTGATCATAAATTCCTGAGCAGGCTATGGTGGGTAGTCACGGCCCAGGCATATAGCTTCTTTACTGAAAGGCTTATCTTTGCCTTAAGAAGCCCTGTCTATTGTTTTTTTGCATGTAGGTTAACATACCTTTGAAATGCACTCCTTCAGACCCCTCCTTGAAAGCAGGAGTCTACCTTTGAGTTCAACAATCTTATAACCCAATCTCCACTTTACTTTCTCCCTCTTTCCTGTAATCTTCCTCCTGGTCTCTCCTTAATTTCAAATGCATAAAAGAAATGGCAACACTGTTATTTTCTGGAGCATTTGAGATCTGCTTCCCTGCATATGTCATCAGTTTGGCTCAAATAAACTCTTACAAAAATTCTGTACAGGTTTTGACATTTTTTAGGTCAATACACCAAACTAGAGGTTTCAGAGTGGGGACATGCAACACAGTGGGAGTGCAAAATGATCCCTGTAATTCCACTCCTGGGTATATGCCTGAAAACATTGAAAAGAGGTACTCAAAGTACATATACATGCATGCTCGTAGCAACACTGTGCTTAATGGCCAAAAGATGGAAACAGTCCAAATGTCCATCAACAATGAATGGATAAACATATGTGGTATTTACATATTCAGCTATAAAAAGAAATGAACTACTGATAACATGCAACCACATAAATGAACCTTGAAAACACGTGTTAAGTGAAAGAAGCCAGACACAAAAGGCCACATTTTGTATGACTCTATTTATATGAAATATCCAGGACAAATAAAGCCACAGTGATAGAACATGTACTGGTGGCTGCCAGGGGCTGAGTGGGGGTGGGCTGGGGAGAAACTGCCTAATGGCTAAGGGGTTGTACTCTGAGGTGATGGAAATGTTTTGGAATTAGATGATGTTGGTGGTTGCACAACATTGTGAATATACTGAATGCCACTGAATTATTCACTTTAATGGTTAATTGCATGTGAATTTTGCTTCGAAACAAAAATTCAGTAGCCACTCTTATTGGCTAGCTGAGAGGTTCGAATGTGGCGGAGGTTCCTTAAGCTTTCTAAGCTGGGAAGTGCTGGGCAAATATCAGCTGGGTCAACTGAAAGAAATGGCCTAGGGCTCAGCAGGGGTGGCTTTGCTGCTCTGCCCTAAATAGTAATGATGGTAAGAGACAGCTACAGTAATTACTATTGACACTTTTATGTTTAATATGAGTCAGGCACTATTCCAAATGCTTTAAATATGACACTCACTAAAGCCTTACAATGCTAACAGGTGGGTAGTATCATGTTTTCACTACAGATGAGGAAACTGAAGAACTGAGGTTTAAATGAGTTTTCAAGTCACAGATGAGGAAGTAGCAGAGTCCAAATTTGAACCTAGGCTGTCAAACTCCACAAATTGAAGTTTCAAAACCCAAACTCGATGCTGAGTGCTTTCCATGTTTTATTTCATTTAATCATGTGAAGTGTTGTTACTCTTATGTTAAAGAAAACACCATAGGCCCAAAATGAGTCACTCTGCTAAAAGTCCATGTTACAAAACTTAGATTTAATACCTGACCTAACTGCAATTTCAACCTCTCCCAGACACAATCTTAATTAACCAGTCTGGAATATTCTGGTCAAGTACCAATAATGTGTCACACAGGCCTTCTGCATTCCCCTTGGAAAGAAGCAATCTGCATCATAAAAACCCTTCCCTTTCTCTTTGCCCAGAGAAAGATGTCCATACCTGAAAATAATAATTTTTCTTTCACTAATAGCTCCCTTGCCCCACCCTTCTTCCTATAAAAACCTTCCATTTTGTACCCTTAGGACGCCCTTCTAGTTGCTAGACAGGATGCTGCCCAATTCATGAATCACTCAATAAGGCCAATTAGATCTTCAAGATTGTGTGATTCTATTTTGTTATTCCTATTCTTATAAACAAGCCCCTCATGGCTCCTCCATGTTCAGTGCTTTCATCTTTCCCCCTGCATTTATTTTTATGCTGGACCACACTCCTGTCATTATCTCATCCTGCTTCACTTCATTCTCCTTTATATTGCACATATTACTACCTGAATATTACTTGTACTTTCTTTTGGCCTCCCATTACTAGAAGGCAGGGCTTTTGATTATTGATTTCCCAATACTTAGAACAATATTTGGTACGCAATAGACTCTCAGAAATGTAATGTTGCACACAGCAGTTGTGTGCCTGTGTTTTAATAATATGTCATATATGTTCTACTTTAAAAAATATATTGTCTTGGAATTTTAAAAAATCAGTACATAGATCTAGCTCATTTATTTTTTAACAGATCTTCCATACTGGGGAGGTAGCTACATTTATTTAGCCAGTTTCCTATTTAATTCACGTTTTTCCAAGTGTATCATTACTGCAAACAATATGGCAATAAACATCTAAGCATATACCTTCTTGTTCATGTATGTACACATTTCTTTAGAATTAGTGCCTAGAAGTGGAATTCCTGGAATGGTAAGCACGTTAAAAATGTCAATAGATAATCAACTGCCCCCCGGATAGCCATTCCTGCCATTACTGAGGGAGGGGGGACAACAGCTTTCATCTACTTTGAATCACACTGGGTAAGTCTTTTCAACATTTTGCCAATTTGATGGGGTAAAAGGAACCTCAATTTACAGATGAGGAAACTAAAACTCAGAAAAGTTTAGGGACTTCCCCACATAACTGGTAAGTGTCGAAGTTGCGATTCGACATCCCAAGTGTCTGACTCCGGAGAGGATGGGCTGACAAGTCTTCTACTGCTGAATATCCTCAGGTACTTCCGGGCCTTGTGATGCTGGCAGGGTGGCCTTCCTCCCCAGTCTAGGCCTCAGATTCTCCGGCGGCAGCCAATCTCTGGCCCTCCTCTACTGCCGACAGCCTCAGCCCAGGGCCAGTCAAGTACACGCCCTGCAACCTCCACTTCTCTGAAATGGCGACCAGCGCCATCACGAGGCCACACCCCCTCATCAGGAGGAGGGGCCTGAGTGCAGGCCAGAGCAATAGATGCCCGAGCCAACTTTGAAGTTGAGTGCCAGGCAGACTCGCGCAGAAGCCGTGAGCCAGTGGCGCCACAGGTCGGGAGGAGGAGCACCGAGCCAAAAGCTCGCTAGCCGGGGCCGCCCGAGAATTTCTTCACCGCCGGCGCTGAGGTCGCCATTTTAGATGGCGGGAGTAAGAGGAGGACGAGCACCGTGAGACGGAAAGGGTTCCCTGCCGCTCTCCTTGGGCCTCTCTCCAGAGAGGGCCAGCTGGCCGGGCTTTGGGGCGTGTGCCCTGAAGCGCGGAGCGTGAGTGCGACAATGCCGGGGCTGCCCGGGGCCCCGTCCCCTGGGCTGGGGACTCGCCGAATGTGACCGCCTCCCGCTCCCTCACCCGCCGCGGGGAGGAGGAGCGGCCCAGAAGCTGCTGCCTGACGACGGGGAAACGGAGGCGGCCAGGCTCCTTCAGGTAGGCGGCAGGGCCAGGCCCTGGATGCCGGGGTAGCCCTGCGGCGGGGCTGAAGGGGCCGGTTCCCTGGCGGCCCGTACTGGGCTGTACTGACGGAGCGGCCTCACAATTGGAAGGTGGAGGGCCCCAGCCAACCCGCTGTCACCTTGGGTGGCCCCGGGCCCAGTGTCATGGCCGTCGAGCTGAGTTCCCCACATCCCCACTGTAATTTCCTTGTGTTTCGGGGAAACGTGCCAACGCCACCCCTGTACCCGGTGCACATTCTTCATAATTTTGGCAATGGGAAAATCCGCCCACAGCTGCACCGTATTGTGTTATAACTTAGATGGGCTAATTCCTTTTCTTTCTAACCTGGAGGGGGGGGCCCGGGCTTGCATCTTCTCTCAAAGTCCGTCACTCAAGTGATACCCTTTTTAAGGAAGACGAGAGGAATCTGGGACAAGAGGAGGATATGGGTCAGTGACCCACCACAAAGGCATAGAGACCTCGCCTCGGGTTTTCAGGACTCTGTGGGTTACCAATGAAAGCTTTGGGATGCTTATAGTGACTGTTGGCTTTGGGATGCTTTGGAATTGAAAAGCCAGGGCTGTCTTTGTGTGGAGTGAGATCCGCCAGGATGCCTCAGTTCTGCAGCTGCAGAGAGCCTCTGCAGCGCTAGGCGATGCCCAGAGAGGAGTTTGGACTTCAGGAGAGGTGAGGCGGCTGTGTTCATTCATTGTTCTCTTTCCAGAGCTCTGGGTGTGCCCTCTGGTATTCGTTCTCTGGTGGGAAGATGATAGGATCTCCTATGTCTCCTTGAGACGTGACTAGGTTCTAGAGGATCACTTAATCGATGTGGGGATGAATTCAGCGCACGTTCATTGATCATTTCTGCTTGCCTTGTTGTTTGTGGGCGGAGAGGGGGGCGTCTGTCCTCCATTCCCCCTCAGGCATGAAAAGAGTGCGCGGTGATAGGGATGGACTTACCAAGTGTTCTGGGAACTAGTTTTTCCTTGAGGGAGTTGCGGAGGCTTGTCCGGTGGAAGGGACTTTCACGAGTTTGGACTGATGAGTAAGTGCACACCAGGTGAGGAGGAGGGGAGGGCATTCTAAAGCAAGGGAACAGCTGATACTCATTCTACTACAGCTGAACATGCTGTAGTTGGGATGAGTTCCGGGAGTAATAAGTCCATAGTCGGGGGTGCTGGAAGGAAGTAGGTGAGAGATGAAGGTTTGAAAGAAAAGCTGTCTAGATTGTGAAGGATCTTTGTTGAAGATAGCGAACTACTTTATTTAATTTGATTATTTTAAATGAGTGTTGCTTTTTTCTTTCTGATAACTAATTTTTGTTCTTTTGTTGATGTTGAAGGTAATAGTAATTGAGAAGACAGTAATTGTTAAACCCAGTTAAGAACACTTAAAAAGTTATTTATTGATTTAGAGAGAGGGAGAGCGGGAGGTGGAGAAGGGGTGAGAGCGACATCCATTCTTGTTCACAGAGTTGTTGTTCCGCTTATCTATGCATTCCTTGGTTGATTCTGGTATGTACCCTGACAGGGAATCCAACCTCAACCTTGGCGAATTGGGTGGGACAAGGCTCTAACCAACTGCTACCTGGTTAGGGAGTACGTTTTTAATAAGTGCTTTACACAGTGAATAAACTGAACTCCTATTCCTAGGGATTCTTGCAGAACGTTCTTCTAAAACAGCGATTTCCAACGGGTGTGTGGCATGTGCTGCAGGAGTTTTTAAAACGTGCAGTAGTCAACTGTTTAATCGGAGGCACTGTCCCTTAGATTGTCAAATTAAAAAAAAATGACAACAGCCAACACAACAATAACTGTCCTGTGTGAATTAATCAAAATTATACCTATTTTTGTCAGATTGGCTAAAACATAGTTTTTGATGTGGTGCAGAATTACAGTACTTTGTGTGTACTATGGATGAATAAGGTTGAAAATCTCTGTTCTCAAGTTAAACTTGCTCACAAAACTGTCGACTTTATAAATGTAGTACCCTGTAGTCACTACATTTTAAATGGCTGTTGATCATAAAAACCAAGTTCCTCAGTCATATAGAAATTGGCAGAATATATATAAAACATCTGAAAAAGAGTAGACTGCAAGTGGGTATTTTTAGTTTAGTAAATGTGTTTTATATAGTAAACTCTTTCTTTGGGGTAATTCCACGGATTCCAATTCAGTTATAAAGTCTTTAGCTCTCTGAACATGATTTCCCCAAAATAGCTGTGTTATGATTAATGCTATGTGAAAATGATGATTGTTATCATATTATCAGACTTCAGCTAACAGTTCCTAAGTCTTTTTTGGGTTGTGATGCTTATGTACCACTGAAGAACATTAAAATTCTTTTGATGGTGATGGAAGGAGACTAGGCTTTGGGTGGTGAGAACAGAGTGGAATATACAGATGATGTATTATAAAATTGTACACTTGAAACATACAATATTATTAATCAATATTGCCCCCATAAATTTAATTGAAAACGATTCTTTTGGCTTGTTTCCACTCTTTCCACTTCAAGGACTAAGTTGTTTAAATTCAGCAGAAATATTTGACTCAGTTGAACACTGGATAGTTGGGAAAATAAACCTGTTACTGTTTCTGTTGTAAAAGTTTATCTTTTAGGTACATGGTATAAATTGTAGTGGGATTGCTTAGTCTGGTAAAAAAAAAACTCTTATCAATAGTTGGAAAAAAAGTGTATGCCTTCAAAGTAGAAGGCTCAAGTGAAGTACACTAAAACATATTAATGGAATTTGGTTTAACAGAAGAAAACACTGAGAAGCAGATTAAATAAGCTGGTCATTTATGATGAAAAGTATCTAAAAGATGAAACAGAATGATAAAATATCAAGTGTTGTGTTACAGCTGCTTTGAAACTAGTTCCTTTTAGTTTAAAACATGCCATTTGTAAAATCCACGGTAGGTAGTTTGCTGTGAAGATTAAACAACTTCTTGCAAATTAAATTGAACTTTTCCAGAAGCACTAGATTACTTATTAAATGGAAAATATAACTAATAACTTCAAATTACTGTTTCAAGTAGTCTGTTAGATGTATGATTGTGTTACATTTTAATTTCAGAAAAAACTTCGTTGGTAACTTACTGCCTAAAAATAGAAAAATGTTACATGAGAGAGTGCTTTTGTTTGTATGTTAGGAACATAATAGGCCATACATAATAATCCTGGTCTTGGGAGGAGCTTGTTAGCCAAACAGCATGCCTTAATGTTGACTTGCAGAAGAGAATTTTAAATATTGCCTTTGAAAAGCAGTGGACTAATGTGACAGTAGGGGGTTTATGAAACCACAAAATTGTGCTTTGACTTGAAAAGCTTTTTTGTTTTTTAAATTGTGCAGCTTGTGGAAGTCTCATTTTTTTCAAAACAAATAACTGTAGTTGGAAAATTGCTCACCTTGACTAAATTAATTGGAAATCAAGGAACACTGGGCTCATTTAAGATGGGATAATAGGGTTTGTGTTGCCCTGTTTTGTGGGTTCACATATGTGTATGGATGGATTAAAATTTTTATTTAACAGACTAGGTTAATACTAGATATTTGTGTTAAATTCAGTTAGTGCTTCATGTTTAGAGCTAAACTACCTTGTCTATAAAGGCTGGGTGTTTTATTCTTGCCTTAAAGTTGTGAGTAAAAATTCCTTAATTATGAAGTAAAGTTTTAATCTTTAATTTTATACTCGTTGAGTCATCTGTTTCCTTCATTTCTCCTGGAATACTTGTATGGATCTCAGTGATTTTAGTAGTTAACTTCAGATGTTAGCCTTTCTTCTAAAATTACTCCTAGGATCTCAATTTACCCAAGGAAAATGTCCAGTGGGTGTTGTTTTTTTGTTACTGGTTTTGGCCCAGACTGTCTGAAGTCTCTTTGGCAAATCACTCACAAAGTGTATTAATTGCTTCACATTCCAATCAGTGTACATAGTTTTTCTTGAGGAACACTTGACACATAGTTTTATTTTTAGACTAAATTCTAAGGGATTTTTACTGGGTGGGGATTAACAATCCTAAAACTAGTTTGTGTTTTAGAGATTGTTTACATTTTTGGTTAATGAATGGGAAGTAGCAGGCAGCGACCATCAATGGCAATAAAAACCTAGTATGTCTGGTTGCTTCTGAGGACCTTGTTGTCTATACTAGTGTCATTTTCTCTTCTTTCTACTCGTTGAATTACACTTACTGTCAGTTGGTAGCAAGAATAAGTACATCTTTACTGTTTCACTTAAGATTTTTTTCCATTTATCTTATTTCAATCTGTTATGGAAAAAAAGTTTTCTGATTTCTTTGAAGCTACTTAATACTAGGCATCACATTTGGGTGAAGTATTTACCTTTCTCCATCCATGTACATTTCTGGTGGAAGAGACAGGCTGGTTATTGTTTAACTATGCTAATATATCTTTACAATTACGAGATTTTATTCCTAAAATGGGTATTTTGGAGACATCCTTTTCAGCCTCGGATAGCTTTTAACATCTACCCATTACCAATGCTTGGGATAGATGAAAATCTGAGTTTCCCTTGGAAGAACATGATTCTTGTTCTTGGTGGCTGGTTTCTTTAGGAAGCTGAGTTTTTGGGAGAGGCATTTCTCTGGATCCAGATAGATCATTCAGAAAGGAGCTCCCATTTGACTTAACAAAGTTTGTTTACAATAGAAAAAACTGGAAAGAATTCAAATGTTTAACAATAATAAAGTGATTTCCTATACTGTGGTATAGCCACTTGATGGGACACTATGCTTTTTATTAAATATGGCATATATGAAACATTTGTGACATGAAAAATGCTGAACATAAAATTATATATCTGAAATAATCACAGTTGTATATGTATCTTAATACAGTGGAATATTATTTAGTAACAAAAAGAAATGTTGTACTGATATATTCTCCAGCATGTATAAACCTTACAAACATTATGTTAAATGAAAGAGTCCAGTCAGAAAAGACCACATACTGTATGATTCCATTTTTGTGA